TGTAACTGCAGCGTATGTTAGCCTGAGCTCCTTGGAGGAAGGGTGGGATTTTTTAAAAAAGTGTTTGAGTGGATTTTTAAATGGAAACATACCATGAGAATGTAAGAAGAGCCCTGCTGGATCTGATCAGTGGTCCACCTAGTCCAGCGTCTTGTCTCACACAGTGGCCAACCAGTTCCTCTAGAGGTCTAACAACAGGGCATAGACTGGCTAAGGCTTTCCCCTGATGCTGCTTCCTGGCACTGCGATTCAGAGATTTGTGTCTCTGAATATGGAGGTTTCCTTTAGTCAGCATGGCTGGTAGCCACTGATAGACCTCTCCTCCATGAATCTGTCTAATCCCTTTTAAAGCTGTCTATGCCTGCAGCTTTCAGTACATCCTCTGGCAGCGAATTCCTCAGTTTAATGTCTTGTGGTATAAAGAAGTATTTCCTTTTGTCCGTCTTGAACCTACTGCCCACCAGCTTCGTTAGACTCTGTGCAACATATCCTTCTTTGTTGCCTCCCCCCATTATTCTTTCCTACGCCATCACTCGATTTGTCCTCTTTTGCCTTCTGCAAAGACTGTTGATAATGAGTTTATCTTCTTGCTTTCCGATAAATCCCCTGAAATCAGTGCATCTGTACCTGAGTTCCTCTCATTGGTATAGAAGCTAAGGGCAAGCGCTTTTAACACTTAGTTTTTAATGTACCATTTTCTTTTGGGCTATGTGATTCTGAATTCGACTGTTTATAACCTTTTCCTTTACTACTGTGGTATATACTGTGGTTTTATCTTATTTTGCTCTTTCTGTAATACTATGCCAATAAAGGTTGATGATAATGATGATGAAGAAGAAGAAGAAGTATTTCCTTTTGTCTGTCTTGAACCGACTGCCCATCAGCTTCATTAGGTGCCCTTGAGTTATAGGATTTTGGTAGATGGAGGACATGTTCTCCTTGTCAAATCTCTCCACCCCGTGCATAATTTTACAAACCTCTATCCTATCCACCCTTAGTCGTCTCTTTTCTAAACCGAAAAGTCCCAGGCTCTTCAGCCTTTCCTCCTAGAGACGGTGCTCCAACCCCTTCATCATCTTGGTTGCTCTCTTCTGTATGCTTTGGGTTCTTAGTACAAAACAGGGTACGGGAACCGTGGTTTTTGTTATGATGGCATTCTGCCCATTTCTCTCAAAGCAATTCTCCCACCAAGATAGTTTTAGGTAGATAATTGTGTTGGTCTGCAATAGAAGAGCGAGATTCGAGTCCAGTAATAGCTTAAAGACCAACAAGATTTCTGGAGCGTAAGCTTGCCAGACTCGGCGCTTCTTTCGTCAGATCCCACACAAGGGCTCATCAGGATCAGCAAGATTCTCTAATCTGACATTCTACAATATTAAAAAAAAACCCCTCTTCTGTCTGCAGCAACAATGGCCTCCCCAGCTTATCCCACAGGTGGCTGGCTGTCACTTGGCAGCCAGATGTCCCAAGGCGACTTCCTCCCGCCCCCATAAGTAAACACTCACCATCACCCAAGCCTTTCCTTTTCAGGTAAACAAATTAATTAAAACTACATCTGTCACTTCGTATTCCAAGCCTCAACTTTCCAAGCAGGAGCAGGTCTGTTTGGGCCTCCCTCCTGCAGGCGGTATTCTTGAAGATCATGAATACCGGAGTAAATGGAGAGAGAGAGATGCACATGGGCTATCAGCGGAGGTTGAAGAAATGACAGCGCCAGTGCGGGAGGTGTTATCCCGCCACATTTTCATAGATGTCCACAGCTGGGCGAGCTATTTTGCTTCAGCAGTGGCAACTGGCAAGGGAAAGCTCTCCGTGTTGGCTACATTGTAGTTCCTTTCTTGGAGAACGTCCAGACCTGCCCCCCCACGGCCCGCCCACCTACATTCTTCAAAGTCTAGGAATATCATCGCTCTCATTTTGTCTAAATAGTACAAGCTGTTTGGTTGTGCTGAGCTACCCGGCCTCCTTCTTTAGATCCTGTGAGCACATTCCAGGGCCTGCAACTTGGCATCTTTGTACTAATGCACTGCTGCTGCAAAGATCCAAAATCTGGACAGATGTCCCTTATCTACCCATCGTAGAGGGAAGCTTGGATACAAGGCCAGCCCGTCTGTGTCGGGATTGTCTGAGAGACGCTTCCCAAATCCTACAGCTCAGCATTTCTCCCCCAGGTTTTGTCATTCAAAGTCACTTCGTTTTGTTTCCACGGGGCAGCCAATGCATCAGGAATCCTCTGTTGTTCTGGTTATGGTTTCTGAATGTAACACAGACCATTGTGCTTGCACATTCAGTTGTTTTCTTTTGATTTGCATGTTCCCCCCCCCTCCATGTTACTAATGTTCAATTCAAGCTTTGCAAGTCCCCCCCCCCTTTCCATGTTACTCAGTTACATGTTCAGTTCAACATGCCGGCTATGACCTTTAAAGCCCTTCATAACCTAGGGCCCACATATCGGAAGGGCCATCTCCTTCTACATGTCCCCCTCCTTCTATATGTCCCTATGTGCCTAATATGGTCACCAGGCAGTCTCTCTCTCTCTCTCTCTGTCTCTCTCTCTCTCTCT